GCAAAAGTTTATAACAGGCATTTCTTAATAAGTCCAGTTGTCCTTTACCTATCACAGGGTTAACTTTATACTTGCGAAAATATAGGGAAAGAAAATGACCGCGATAATTTGGATGCAGCTTTAGGTAAGCTTTTGCGCTAGCTTTGCCCTATGCAAAAGAACAAAGCTAAAGTAAGCTAACTAAAGACACAAGTTCCATTCGACAACACTATTCTTTAGCAAATTACTTTAAAGTGCCCAATTTTGACTGAGCAAAGCTGTTACGCTCTAGTGGTGTGTAACAGCATATAACAATCTTTCCTCCTTTATTCTCGCTCTCCGACTGTAATAAAAATGTGAACATTAAATATTGAGAAATATATACGTAATGATATTATTATTGTTGTTCTAAGTGTTGAAGACCTCAGGTGAACGTGATATTTTGATGTTACGCACTCAGTGTCCCTCAGTACGGTTCTATTAACCTCGACATCCATTGCTGTGTATAGACCTATTGGTGTAAAAACACATGCCGGGCCGCTTCGGTTTAACAAACCTCTCGCCGTTTTAATAAGTACTGGATTGAACAGAAATGTGTTGAGTTGAAATTAAATTAGTAGAGAATAACATTTAGACGGCGAATAAAAAAGAAAGCAGAAAGAAGATACTATGACAATAGTGGCCGCGTAAAGGTTATTACTAAGACTGAGATAAGGATGGCACGAGCTTTTCAATGGCAAGAATAGTACAAGTGAGAGCTCAGCAGTACTGGGGCATACTCAACAAAATAGTAGGAGCGGGGAATTTCGGATATTTCTGTCGCTTGCTGTGAACAAATTAAGGAAAGCAATCTATTACTAAGATACCTATGACCTATTATGGTGCTCTTATGGATTATATTTTATGTAAAAGTACTACTACTGCTACTAATACTGCTATTAACATTAACAATACGCATCCGTGTATTTTCTATACCAGTTTGTCATATGTAGGGTGGCGGGGGACTGGAGCCTATATCGCATAGTAATAATAATTTGTATTATTTTTCCTATCGCTGTCATACCTCTTTTAATTACGTAATTTATAAACCTGTTTACTTTTTTCGAGAAAGTCTGATTCAAGAGTTTTATTTGTCACATGTATGAATGTCGTGGTACACCAGCAGTGAATATTAAAGAACAGATTTCTTTGCTATTGATTGGAGAATCCATCCCTAAAAGCAATTTTTGTCAGTTTTCTGATACATATTTCCCATTCAAATGAATATTCAAGTAGTTTGCCATGGGTTCGGTAGACATTTTTAATATTTTCTGTTTTTCTTAATTAACTGTAGTCAACCCTACAATTTGACACAATATACCTTTTTATAACAACAATAACAATAATAATAATAATAATGATAATAACAATAACAACAATAATAACAACAATAATAACAATAATAACATTTAATTTAAATTCATTTATTTGCTTTTGGAAGTGGTCTTATTTAAAACCAGGCTCATAAAGATGTCGAAAAGACAATAAGCTTTTATTAAATATTTTTATTAAATAGGCCTATACAAGATTACCGTATTTCCAAATGCAATCTCTCAAATAAACTACAGAAGCTGAAGAGCATTTGCATAGGACCTACGTTTTGGCCTCTGTAATTATAAAATACACACGTTACCACATAATTTGAAAGCACCTTCGTTACCTGGGATTATATGTGATGTGTCTTTAAATATACGTCGCAAAGAGCCACTGTCTGATCCTGATGTATAACGTATATATGAAGCTCAGAGAGTGGGAAAGTACAGCGACCAAAATAACGTGTAAAGGCTACCGGTGCAAGAGTCGTAAGTGAGCATTCGAATATGTTCCGAAAAAGTCTTCAAAGGGTGCGATGCCAATCTCATAAATTGCACGGGAAACCAGCTTAATGCCACAGGTTTCCGAACACCCTTTAAGACAGACCGGTCAAGATCAATCCGTTCGTTCTGTGACCATGACGTTGCTTGTCAAAGCGATATATTGTTTAAAAAAAACGGAAAATAATCTTATTTTATCAATACTTGACATGCATAAGATTGAAAGTACATTGATTCACAAAATAATAAAGAAATTTACATATTGTTCTTTTTATGTTGTAGCGTTTTGTATACAATGTATAAAGCATGCGTCAAAGACATCAGTCTCAATATTTTGAGATGATACGGCATGTGTGTATTGCCCGAGACCACTGTAAAAATGAACGCCTTTTAGTTGTTGCTCCGAACTGTTCACAGTTCATACAACCAAATTTAATAGTCTGGCTTACATCCAATCAAATTTATCTTGGCCATGAGGGGACAATAATATTATTTCACACGCTTGCCACATTTAGTCCTTGTTTCTGGTCGAATTTATGAGAATATACAATAGTCGGACTAACATGACCAATGCGTACCTGAAAGGACTACAGGTTTCCTTAATTTGGTCTTTTTTTCAAAGAGCCTTCTTTAATTCTTTTGCTGTTTTACTATTATAGCGCGTAACAGCGAGGCCTTGCTTAGATTCCGCAGACAGATGTCGTAAAAGGTCTTTGAAAATCCGCTCTCCAACGGTGTTGTTTTGAAGCAGAGAATGTCAAATATTTACAACACCAGTTTTGGTCTCAAGACTGGAAATTTCGTAGCTTGTAGACATTTTTTGGTTTTGACAGCATATACTTTGCTTCCCAAGTATAATTAAGTTATTCAGTTATTGTATTCGTGGAAAAAAACGTTAAAGCTAAGTCACCTAAGTCAAGTAAATAGGTCATTTCTGGGTCACATTACTGTGGAAAAAATATATTAACGGTATCCGTTTCAGATCTTAGTTCTCTGTCGCATAACTGTACAGGGTTTGTAAGAGATTATAGGCAGATAACGTAAATTGGCGTGAACTGACGCAGGAAACTAAACCATGGATCCAATGAAGGTTAAATAATGGAAAATTATCAATAATAAGCTGTTAGTTTCCCTACTATCAGGCATCATGATAAAGTGCAGTCAGGTAAATCCAGTTTGCTCATATCATGCATTGTTTGTTTTGGATTGGCCTCTATGTTTTGCATCTATGTACGTTTATTTGAGTAAGTCATGTGTATAATCTCTTATGCACACGAGTGAGCGTTCTTCTCGTAGATAAGCTTTTTTTTGGGGGGGAATGTCGTTTTTAAGTGACTTTTGTTTATCGGCTCTCGTTTTTCTACACTCTGATATTGCAAATGAATGTCCCTTTGCTATGGTCGCTCGTTTATGGTAGGAGCCGGTGAGGAGTTTAGTGGTCAAATTCAAGTGCTATGTCTAGGCAGGGGTCTGCTTTCTTTGTACTTGGTGTTACAAGTCCGGCGCTTCAATCCTTTCATCAACGGCCGCAGCTCTTCCGCTTATTCAGAGGCTCTGCGCTTGATTGTAAGTTTATAGGTGTATAGGACTGGATGTTTCTAGCATTAAAAGCCTAGTTTAAGACATTATCATTTACTTGTTTACTCTAATCAGTTTTTTCTCTCATAGTCTCCCCATAAAAGTACGTATGTACCTGTTCGACTAATGCCTTAACATACAATCGCACGTCTTTTATTCTTTCCTCGTGTTCCTTTCATATTATTTCATTTTTTTTCTTACACTTTAGTAAAATCTAGGACACTAACGCCTCTTATGCGACCAGTATCATTTCACCATTGTTCTGATGCATTAACCAGATTTCATAGAGAGTCGCAGCGCTAGTCAAATTTGCACAGCCTACTGGATAAGGTACAAACAAACTATAGTACGACTATTGTTTCTCTAATACAGCTAGCCATTTGTATGTTAGTCTCATATAAACGATTACATAAATAATCATGTTTCTGCTATTGTGCTCGCGATTTGTGGATACTGTACGGGCCTGTTCCAGTGGATTTCTCAACTATTACCAAGATATATAAGGAAATATATTAATGTATTAACACGCACATTTGTAATGACATTCATTAATAAACTATTATTCCGTTATGAGACTGTCTAAAAACATTTTCCCGAATAAAGAAATCGAAATCGCTTATATACGTTAGCTTTCAATATTCATAAATAACTAAGTGGTGTGTTACAGAGATAAATTTAAGGAACCGCGGGTCTTCTTTTATAACGCATTTATTTGTTTGTTTGCCTGTTTATTTATATTTTCAAAAAATATACCTTTAGTTAAATTCTGATTTAAATTGTTTTGGTTTGTTTTTGCTTATTTATTGTGATTTCCAGATATATCACTAGGTTTAAATTCTGTTTCGACATTTACTGCAATATGATTTTTCATGTCCTGGCGCCATATAAGATTTTCAGCTGTAAGGAATTCAAGTCCAGCAGTTTAGACCTTTAAGAAGTAATTTACTGTTCATATTCTCAGTTTCTCCGACCCCACATTATAAGTTATTTTAAAAACGTAACTATAAAATTAAGCATACCAGTCATGGCTTTGCAATATGGGATATCAGCCACAATTTAAAGCTAAAAATATTACAGGTAATTAATGTTTATAAAACTCTCAGAAGACTACTGGGAATTTTTGAGCATCGTTGTGGAATTGCTACGGGGGAAAAATGTATTTATTATTAATTAAATGGCAAAATATTAATTCAGAAAGGGTCGGTGGAAAATGTATTGCTAATACGAAATATATACGTTACTAAATCCACGAGTAACACTGGTTTTAGTGTAAAAGCAAGATCAGTAATAATCTTACGCATAAAAGGAAATACATTAGAAAAATATGTTTCTGGTGTTGCTGTTTTACGCTCTTGATGACAACTAGAGGGAATGCCTTATGAAAGCGGTAAGAAATCTGCTATTGATTTTCATAATGCTGCAGTGGCGTTTCGAAACCAATCGTTTGAACCTCCTAGATCATACCTAAGTGAACCACTCCTACCCATCTAAGTGTTCCAAATTGATATATGACAATATCTACTTTCGATCACGTGTCTCCGAGCGACTTAGACGGATAGCACGTCATCTCGCCTTCCCAAATTTCCCCTCCTGCAGTTCGAATCCAAAACATCTATCTATAGTACCGAGAACGAGCGAACGATGTTTAACTCGGTGAATCTAGGCAACTTCTGCTCCCAAACGCGCAAAGACAGGACTTCTGAGTTTGGGGACAGGGCAGGGTGCGCCTCCAACCTCTATCTCCCAAGCTGCACCTATTATGTGCCCGAATTTTCTGCGGTCTCTTCGTTTCTACCACAGGCCCCGTCTCGGCAAATCACCTATCCTTATTCCACAAATCTGTCTCAAGTACAACCGGTTCGAGAGGTTTCCTACGGTTTGGACCCGTCCAGTAAATGGCACCACAGAAGCAGTTATGCATCCTGCTACACAGGAGAGGACCTGATGCACAGGGACTGTCTTCCGCCATCCACCATGACAGAAATGCTTATGAAAAACGAGAGTGTCTACAGCCATCACCACCATCACCATCCTAGCGCCAACCATTCATCCACAGGTTTTTACTCGAGCGTGGGGAAAAACAACGTTCTTCCTCAAGGTTTTGATCGCTTTTTCGAGAGTGCACAATGCGCTGTAGACAACCAGCTAGAGAATTGTTTACACAAAAGCGAGACGAGCAAGCTGGAATCAGAGTCCCAGCCTTCGAACGCTATCTCCGGCGCTACAGAACCGGAAAAGGACGCGGAGGATGAGGAAGAAAATACAAATTCGGGATCCTGCGGGTCTTCCTCAGGCACGAAGGATGGAAACGCCAGCAAGAACAGCCATTCGAGTAGGTACCGAAGCTGTAAATGGAAAAAGGTGAAGGGACTAGCCCGGTGTTTTGTCGGTCAGATTTTATGTGGAGTTTTATAAGCATTCAGTGGATTTTATTATAACCTACAAAGCTCTTTCTTCCAATGCGAAGAATTTTACGATGGGAAAACGCTTTGAAAAAAAGGGATGTTATACACAGGCGCGACTATCTCAGAGTCTGTGAAATTTTAAGAGCACGCTATTGTGACAAATGCTAACTTTGATCATGAACTTGCACGTTTTAGGGTATTTCGAAAAACCAATTGGGCAGAACACTACTTTTGACGTCCTGTGAAATATCTTTGAGCGACCCTTTATGCAATTTAGCTAACACATATATTTTAGACGACATAGCTACTTCTAAACGTAACATGGAGGAAACTGAATCTAGTTCATGAAACGTTGGTGTGAAAACATTTTTCTGCTTACTTGTGAATTCACCAAGGTTCTTAGACTATTTCTTTTATAGACTATAGATTATTTCTTTTAATGTAGTGTAAATAGAAAAAGCGAGCTTTGACATTGTTTCAGACTGAAAAACAAAATCAATTGTATTAAAATGCAAGGACTAGCCTCAGAGCAGACCCTTGCACGAGCTAATCAAGAGCATTGCTTCAAATCATATATTTATAAGATCATCACCACCACCATCGTCATCATCACAATAATCATCGTTAATTTAAAGTAGCCTAACAGTCTGCATTTTAGTACGATTAAGCTAGAATGTCTCATTCTTGTGTCCTCGATAGTAAAAATCACCGCCGAAACGCTTAGGCCAAAGCAGAAATACAGGGTTCCTTTAGAAAATACGTTTCTATGAGTCTGTATATAGCGGTATATATTGTATTGTAAACATCTTCTTTATGGCATATGCAAAATTGTATAAAATTGTATTGTTTAATAACGGCTAATGCTGCTGTCAAGTACAATAATTAGTAAAACGCGAAATGAACATCCTTGCAACCTTGCTCAGGGTTAGCGGTTGGAATATGAATGGATGACACAGGCTTCATTTTAGAAACAAGCAACAGTCTTTCGAATCTGAAATTCATGTAACTGAAGTTAGAGTTGGCGTTTTCATACTCTGGCCTTTTCGTCCATTCATTGTTGCATTTTTCTTTGTAAATTGACTACAGCCACTATAGCGGATCTTAAAATAATTTCCTATGATGCAAAATACTAAAGGAAACTGACATGACATATGTAAAGCGTTTTCTTAACACATCCACGTTGATATATTTAAATTGAAAAGTGGAATGTAACACACGTATTGTAGCACGAAGTGACAATCGGAAACGTGTCTTTGATTCAATGTATACAATAGGTGCACCAATACTTTTGAATACTTAATTTCGTGTTTACTGACCACATTCGTATTTGTTGAACGACAAAAAATGACTTGACCTTGTATCTCTTTATTTCGAGGTACTCCACGCGCAAGGAAGAAGAGATGTCCATACACCAAGTTTCAGATCCGGGAATTGGAGCGGGAATTTTTCTTCAACGTTTATATTAACAAGGAGAAACGTCTGCAGCTTTCCCGAATGCTGAACCTGACAGACCGACAGGTCAAAATCTGGTTTCAGAATCGCAGAATGAAAGAAAAGAAATTAAGCCGAGATCGTTTGCAATATTTTTCTGGCAATCCTCTATTGTGAACAGCAAGTATTATCTTTAACTAAGCATCAGTATTATGATTGAAATTATAAAATCGACTTTTTACTGAAGGGAAGATAAGGTTCATACAGTTAAAATGTATAACGCGGCAACATAAATTTGTTGGACTTTGAAGACTGTGTTTTCTGAGGTAATTTGCGCAATATTATGCTCTCAAAAATAAGAACCAGCGAAAGACTTTTTTCAGATTCTGAAAGACTCTTCAAAACAGATGCTAAAGCATTCTAAATTTTAGTTTTCGTATTGGAAGGTTGCAAATTTATGAAAACGATGTAGGGGCTCTTAAACTCCTAAATGTTTATCAGCAGGCCCTATACCTTCTTTTGTTTTTCATTTCGCATGCATCGTATATTATTTGTAAAATATGTAATATTCACGAAACACGATTCACGAACTTTATATTTTATAATATACGCTTAATTGTTCCTTCAGTCCTGGAGTCTTTCCCTCTGCATGACAAACGGAAGACAGTCGAATTATACATAGAAAGTGATATTCAAGCTCTTACTGCATTAGGGACTGTGATGTGAGAAGTTTGTACCGGGATAATTCTCCTCGTAAAGACTATGCAACGCTCCATTTCTGACTGTATATATGCCTTTAAAACCTATTTCGAAGCCGGATCTCTGTATCAGCTTGAGTTCTATACGTTCAGTTGTCTTTGTCGTGCGGATGGAGAATGCGGATATCATGCTGCACCAAGTAGAATAAGAATGTAAAATAAAAATGCACAGCTATTTAATTCACAAAACATCTACATTAATACTGTTGTAAATTATATTTTGAATCGCAGTTAGCCTATTATCATAGCAGTTTTATGAAATAACTGTTTTATAGCTTTCTCAAACTTGGCGTTTGGTGCTATACAGCTGCCCTGTGCGTCCATTGGAATGCTTTACTTTGTGACATGCTTTTGTATACTGAACTGAGGCCTCCTCGTGCTTCTGTGATTTATTTTGTTAATATCCTATACCAATTTTTAAAATAATTATTTAAGACAACATTATAACCTTCTAGAAACTAGTTGTAAAACAATCTATTTACTTTTTACACTGCAGACAGGGAGGGGGGGGGGATTGTGGCGAATCAGCCATAAATTTATCTTAGCACAAATTCTAGATGTTTTGTATTATCCTCTTACAAATCGTTAATTATAAACATAATCGTAATTTTGGTTTGTATTCTATTCATTTGGTCGTAATGCAGTCACGTCACAATCACCGCATTCACCCAAGAGCAGATCAATCTGCAAATAATTAGGAAAACGTAATGCTGAATTGGTTTTCGTCCAGGTATGACTTGCACATAAGGGAAAACACATTGCTATTATATGTGTGTGGGAATGGGGTGATTCTCGCGTTTTTGACTTGTTGGACTGGAAATAACGCAACACCGAGTGGCGGCGTGAGACGAAAAAGGCTAATTCAGTGGTCACTAAAGGAAACAGCCACTGGTCATCTCAAAACTCTTCCAGTCTAGACACTGTCATAAAGACAGAGGCACTAAACAGCTATTTTTCCTTAATTGCACCGTCTGTTCAGCGGAGTCACACTTCCGCCGTAAACAGCAAATAAGTAAAACTTACTGCGACTTGAGCTGATGAAATCAGTAATCTACTCTGGATCGTTCGATACTCTACAGCTCAAATCTCCTGAATAACGCGTATCCGCATAAATGGCCGCCCAAACTTGGACGTCTATTTCAAAGCAGCCTGTATATGCGATTTTACTGAAACTGCCTATAAAACTAAAGTTTATTGACCACGTGGCGTTTAACTGCATCCCTACTGGTAGGAAAGTATTTGGCTGAAATAAGACCGAACAGATCGGGGGGAATTAATATATATCCCTCTCTGCCACGTGAAATAGGCCTACTACAAAATGGAGCAAAAGCGCGCAAAGTGAAAAACATAGGGATATATTTTAAAAACGGAATTGTGAAATTTAAGGGAGGGAATGAGTGAGTACCGAGAATGCCTGTGCGTCTTTATGTGTTCGTTTGTGTATCCATGGAAACACAGAATATCTCAGAACAGTAAAAATCTTAAATATTGACTTTGAACTTCCGTGAAGTCAAGGCCGTCACCTTTAGCCCTTTGTAATAGAGAGAAATCAACGAGTTGCTTGGCCCAGAGATCTTGGCACTGACAGGACTGAAAGCCAATAAGAATTAGGGTGGGGGTGGGGTACGGGCCAAAGGGACATCTGTGAAGCTTTCGTTTCATATCAAAGTACAGTATGTAACATGGTTGGTTCAATTACATGCGTAGTGCATTGTCATAGATAGTTAAATATTTAGAACTGAACGTCTCCTACAAATGAACCATACAGGTAAATAACCGTTGGTGTTATTATGAAATTGAATCGCACGACAGCCAGATTGAAAAAGCCGAAGTGGAATTTATCCCTGTATTGGCGACTTACTTGGCTGATTTCATCTCGCGCCTTATCAACAGCTCGCTCAAGCATCTACCCATCAACACTAGGTATCGCGTCACTGATGCTGTATTCTATCGGGAAGAGCCTAATAACCCGCAAGGCGTGTTCGTCTCCTACTGACGCGATAAAGATATCTGTAATACATAATTTGGGCCAAAAGGTGGCACCTGCGCAGTTCCGTGAATGGTTAATCCAACAGTGCTGTATTTCGGTTAGCCAATTAATTTTTTCATTGCCTCTCAAAGACGACGAATACGAAAGAGTTAATGGGAACGAAACTGCTATTCAAATCGCGTTATTCAAAAGATTTAATTAATCAGAATTTGTGGGAAGAGGCTTAAATGAAGTAACACCAATATTAACACTGAATACTCAAGTGTAAACTACATGCAAGACCACATAAGTTGAAGCCTCTGGATATGTTTTTTGTCAGTAATATAAATTAAAAACAACGTTATATCTTATATTTTCACGTCAAAAGACAAATGTTAAGCATATATAACTTAAGATGGAAACGTGCTTATTACTGCCGAACAATTTCAACGTTTCATTGTCGCCGTCTTGGTTTTGATTATTAGCGTGTTGCTGCAGTTCAGCATGCACGTATAGATGACTTATAAAAAGTAATGTTATTTGACGGAAATTAATTTATAATGACCAAAAAAAATTCTTCGAATAATACGATTTAATTTCAAAGGCTCAGCCTGCGCACTTAAGCTAAGACTCTTAGTTCCTAGACATAGGAGATTCTTAATTTTGGAATAACTTTGCATTTTGTAAAGCCATTGGCCTAAGGCCCGCGGATCTCCATGTTACTGTTACGCTGGGACCATGAACAATTTTAGTCTCAAACAACATGAATATTGCTTCAGTTCAGAGCCATAAACAGATGGGTCTGTCTTTTCGATCCCCACACTTTCGGAAATCATAGGTTTTAGTTGGACTCCACTGTCGTACGCTTTCCTCTGAAACGTAAGACTGGTACTCAGTATTTATAATAACATCGTTTATGAAATAACCCTTTCTTAATTTTCCCTCTGCCTTCAACCAATAGAGGTGAACATTAGTGGTACAGCACACGGAGTGGCCAAGTTTGTGTGTGTGTGTGTGTGTGTGTGTGTGTGTGTGTGGGTTGGTGTGTTTTTAAAAGTATTTTATGAGTACAGGGAATCAAATCAGTTTTAGCCACTTTGTTTGAAACATCTGTCTTGAATTTGTTATTCACACGATAAATCTGATAGTACGGTATCATACAGTAATGTACGGACACGTTTAAGGAGATGGTTCAATCAAAGTAGCGGGTCTGTGTACTACATAAATTTATATTATGGAGTGTTACTTTAAGTTGTAAAGAATATTAATACAAGATGGGAATGTAGTGAAAAGTAACCAATTCGTTTTTATAAATATAAATATAGCCGTATCCAATATGCTCTTTAATTGAATTATACCCAGTTTTAAGTGAACACATCTGTGGTTGAAATAAGCGTGAAAGTAATTGACTTTGATTAAAAAGATCTTGCAAATAAAATCAGCTGTCTTTTTCACACTCGAGATAAACGCCAAGATTAAATGACACAAGTTACCGGTATGACACATGTCATTTTTCATTTTAATTTATTTCACGATACAAAGTATCAGTGATACATAGTAATACATGTAATACATAGTACATAGTACAGTAATAGTAGTACAGTGATACATTTAATCTTTTAATCAATTTAGTAGACTGGTTAAAATACTATATATATATACATGTGTATACATATATATATATAGTATACTATATATATGTATACACACACCCACACACATATTTATTTATTTATATGCGCGCGCACACATACACACGCGCGCGCGCTCGCACACACACACGACTGTCCAGGCCCGCAGTTTTTATTTCCATGTCATACGTCCAGCCAATATACACTTATGAAAGAAAACTCAAAACCCACATCTTACAGCGTCCGGACCAAAGGCGACACGGGGCCTGGGACAAATTTTGCATAAGTGGATCCAGGCTCCTTCCGCTGCCTGTCACGTGTTCAGTGCGCTCCCATTTCGGGGATTTAGCTGCAGCTTCTACTGTGGATATTATTGTCTTTTAAATGATGAATATAGAAACATTAGTCAACAAATTAATATAAGTTTTAATACTTAAACGCCGTCGATATACGTGTATACGTTGTATATGTTTTTCATTAATTTATTATGCATTTGACGTAGTGCGTGCATCGTTTCGAGAGGAAAGCGTCGAGATGTTTGGCTGTTATCAATTCCAAATAACAGATATAGAAACCGCGGCGTTTCTCTAGTCGAAGAATAATAACAATCGACAGAGAACAATTGAGTGAACAACTATGTGTAAGTTATTGAGTTAGCCTATTGTTTTGATTAAATGAAACATACAATGATGAGATACGTCTTAAGTTAGATGTCCTAAGAAAGCATTTAAAATGCACAATTGCCTTTTATTTAAATCCAAGAAATATTTCAAATGTGTCTTTCTAAGAAATAGAAGAAGAACAATCAAGCAACAAAATAGCAGATCGGCTTTAAAGTAAATTCGTTTTGCTGATATAAATATTTATTGATGAAAACAGTGAAATGCACACATTCCAGTGGATCGTCTCAATGTTCTCCAGGGGTCATTGTCAGTGACCTAATTGTCGGTGTCCCTGAAACTCAGACTGCAATTCAACAGTTAAACAGACGCGTAGCAACGATACAGAAAAACACGGAAGAAGACAAAGGTCGACGTACACCTGGCCTATCAAATTAAAGTTTTTCTTTTTAAAAAATCAATATCGTTTTATGTATTTTTATTTTTGTTATTAGCAGATTCTTGAAAATGAAAATATCTTACCTGTCGTAAATGTTTATCGCCAAGGAATTCTTCATTGTCGAGCAACAGTTTTGGTATGTAAAATTAAGAAGGCCTGTATAATGATTACTAATACTGCAAATTCATTAAAACACCAGACATAC